CCCCAAAACCCCAAAACCCCAAAACCCCTTAAAGGAGATCAGAAATTGAAAGAATTATTATATTTTTCAATGACCCCACTTTTGTGTGACTATGGAACTTCAGTTATTAGCCTGTTGAAGGCAATAATCCTATCTAGTATTTTGTGTCTACTCTCTTCAATAGTTTCATTAGGATGCCTTTCTTGATGGAGAACTTTACTCTCAGCGATTTGTAAAATCGCTGGAATCATATCATTTTCATCCTCAACCTGCAAAGTATCTGTAGTTGTGATAATTTTATTTTCGTATTCTTTGACGTTTTCTTGACCAACTATGATATGAAGAATAGCAAATATGATATCAGAAGCATATTCAAAATCTTGATTTTCCTCTCCCTCTACCTGATCTTCATCTCTATCTTTATCATGGAGAGTAACCTCAAAATGATATTCGTCTTGATCATCTACTTCTACTTCAAAAATTAATAAATAAATCTTTTTCTCTGATTTTTTAAAGATAGGAATGATGAAGATATTTTCTTGGAATATTTCTCTGATTTCTTTAGCCAATTCTTCATTTATTGTTTCAGGTATATCAGCTTTCTCAGATATCTCTTTCACTGCATATGTGTCAAAAATTTTAATGTTTTTGATATTCTCGATTGATTTAGGATCATTTAGGCTATATTTAGAAGAGATCTTACCCTTTATTTAGCAATTTGGTACTCATGGAATACTTCAAGGATTCTGATATACCCATTAAGAATCCCATCATCTACATAATTTCCACTGTAGAAGTTAAATAAGTCATTGTTATTGATATCTTTGATGAAAATTTGCTTGATGTAATCAATTCCTTTATTAAGCTCTCCATCATCTTCTCAGAAGTAGTAACTGAAGGAGAGAAGCATCTCTCCACCATAAAGATTTGAGATTTCCATGTCCTTACTTTCAAAATCAGCTTGCTCCAAGTACTCTAATTGGCAAGTTTGAGAAGTTCATTTGTATTTGGCTCCATTCAGAAATGGCATGAATAAATCATCATAATATTTTATCAAAGTTTCACCAAACAACTCTGTGAGAGATCAATAATGATCAGAAGAATTTGAGAAACTTGCTCCTTTTAATTTAGAAGACAAATTCAGCTGATTAAACTTATTTATGGTATCATCCACACGTAAATTAAGATTGCTAGAGTCATCTTTATTCATAGGATTAAAAGTGTGTGTGAAGCCTTTCTTCATAGAATGATTCTCAAAATTTTCTTCTGTGATCTCATAACCATTTTCTTCATTATTCTGATTAATAGTGAAACTGCTTACTTCGTAATCATCATCTGAGCCATATCCGCTGTAAAGCTTTATTTCTGGATCATTCCCTGTAAGTTTATTTAGGGAAAATACTAGTCTTTAAAAACTTTTCAATAGGACTTTCACATGCTTCATCTTCATTATTGTTATTTCTGAGGATTATAATACTGTCAGAGTTTTCTAGACAGCTTGATAAAATATAAGTTTAATAAAAAGAACTATTTTTTAAGTTTACTATATATTTGAAAATAAATTTTATATAAAAAATAATTACCGTCATAATTTTGCTTCTTCCGAGGAGGCTTCGTGTTTGGTTCATCGTCCTAAAATATGGGAGTAATGCTTACATCTTCATACTCATTCCGAAGGGTGCAGCAAAACAAAGACTTAAACATGTTTAAATATCAAAATATTCTATATTTTTGCATTGAACAGGGGTTTTGGGGTTTTGGGGTTTTGGGG